CATGCGCTGCAGAGCAGGTCTTCCAAAGCAGATTAATGGCTCTGTCAAGCTGCACCATTCCCAAAATCTCTCTCCAACAAAAATAATCTGGTGAAGTTTTCCAAAATGCTTTTTTTTTTAGAGGCAAGAGATGGTCTTCTTTTCCTTCTCTTGGCATGCATTTTTGTGCTTCTGCCTTTCAGTTTTAGATGACTGGCTTTTTGAGAGGATACACTTTGAAGGCATGCGTGTGTTAAAACATTTGGCATGTAGGCAACAGTGGAATGGTTGCCTCCAACTCCCAATTTTTTCCACCTGAGGAGAAAGCAAGATGTCCTCCCTTCCACTTGGTGTGCAAAAATGGATTGGAGTGGCATGCTAAGTCTTTTGTCAATTTTGTCATTGAGAATGTTTTGCTCCCTGGGACAAAAAAAGATGGCCCCTGCTCCATGTTGCATCCAAAAAAATGACAGGACCAGCAGTTAAGTCTTTGGTCAGCTCTGTTGTGAGAATTCTGCTAAACAAGCCAATGCGATTCTAGGCTGCATCAAAGAAGTATAGTGTCTAGATCAGTGTCCCCCAAAGTTTGGTCCTCCAGATGTTTTGGACTTCAGCTCCCAGAATTCCTGATTGTTGGCCAAGCTGGCTGGGGCTTCTGGGAGCTGAAGTCCAAAACACCTGGAGGACCAAAGTTTGGGAACCACTGGTCTAGATCAAGGGAAGTAATAGTACCACTCTATTCTGCTTTGGTCACATCTCACCTGGAAAATTGTGTCTGGGCACCACAATTCAAGAGGGATATTGACAAGCTGGAGCATTTTCAGGGAAGGGCAACCGAAATGGTGAAAGGTCTGGAAACCCTGTGAGAAGTGGCTTAGGGAGTTGGGTATGTTTAGCTTGGAGAAGAGAAGATTGAGAGATAATATAATAGCTATGTTTAAATATTTGAAGGGATGCCATACTGAAGATGGAGCAAGTTTGTTTTCTGCATCTCCAGAGGAATGGATGCAAACTATAGGAAAGGAGATTCCACTTCAGCGTTAGGAAGAACTTCTTGACACTAAGAGCTGTTTGACGCTGCCCTGGAGAGTGGTGGAGTCTCCTCCTTTGGAGGTTTTTAAGCAAAGTCT